GGTAGAGTTGATCTGAGGAACGCGTCCGACGCAAGCATACCTCAAATTAGAAAGTCATCCGATTCCCACGGTCACAAATCGAAAAGGACGAGTCGCTTCAGTGGCACCGCACCAACACCGCACACTTGTTTCCAACTTGTTTCTTCTGCTTATCCACTACGCACTCATGTTCGCTATACACTGTCCCTCGTATTTGCCTGACAAAACGTAGAAATTGAGGAAGTCAAAGATAGCCTATTATTGAACCAATGATGGTCTAACATTGTATCTTTTGATAACAAGTCAGTTCGATGTTGGTCCGATGGTTCGTGTTGTGTTTTTTGAGTTCCGAGCCTGACGGTGACAAGGATCCCTCCGAGGGTTTACCTTATATCAATGTACGCCTCTGTTTTTATAATTCATTCGCCACTGATATCATTCAATCCAGAAATATCCTTGCTAATGTGCCACAAAGCCCGGACTGGTGACTGCACTTGCGCGGCATGTTTACAGAGCTCGACATTTTGAAGACATGCTCTGAAATTAAGTTCTCTTTTGGAAGTTGAAGACGGCTCTAGTTTGGGATCCCTCTCCGCGGGAATTAGAAACGAGTGGGCTCAGAATTCAACGCTCTGAGAAATGAGCCTTGGCAACGGTTCTATCCCTGCCTACATGTCCATCTCATTTTTCGGTCACGGTGGATCCCCTTTACATTTCACCATTAATCTTACCCTTCGTTTCATCTGTAGTGATAACAGCTCTGGAAGGACACCTTTCAACGACCAGACAGATGTTCCATCCAATTCCAGTGACATTCTAGCGCGCGCTTCTCTGTCCATTTTCATCATGTACTGATGATGATGAAAAGGTACTTCATCGACTCCCGTCAGCCTTCATTTGCCTGATCATCTATCTTCAAAATATCAGTATTTCTACAAAGAGTAACTCACCGTACGCGGAGTTAATTTTATCCTTTGGGATTTCATAAGCTCCTACACGATGTTTTCCACCAGCCCTTTATCTGCTACGACTTGGATATGTGCCACATGAAGATTCACAACTTGTACGTGTTCAAATTCTAGATTACCCCTTTTTATGTTTTTATCACAGGCATAGCCGGAGGAGACCAATGTAGAATCATCTATATTTTGCCCATAAACGTTTAAACGTTGATATCCCGTCCAAATCCCGGCTCCGTAACAGATCACTACTTTCCCCGAACGAGCCCAGATACAGTTTCCATGTAAAGGAAAACCACCTTCCTCTACCGGACTGTTCAGGTCGCGCGGCACCTTTGTCAAGTGCAGAGCTTCCATTGTCGCAGCACAACCATGGGAAAGGACAATGCTCGTGTTTCTGCATCGAGGTGAATTTTTTCATAGCCGGTGCCACAGTCGTGGTTCGGATTGAGCCGACGAGTATCTTCGATGAGTGCGTTAACACAAATGACTTCACTCCCGTCCGGCTTACCGTACGGTGCACTATACAGGCTTCAATTAGTGTTTAGCCGTGCCAGGCCTGTTTAGCCGTGCCGCATTGCCTCCACATTAGGGCAAATGACGGAATACATTGACTCGGGTGTCATTTCATACTCGGTATGGTGGCATAAAACATACGAACAACAGCGCTCGTTTCTGGCTCCATGACTCGCCATCTTGGTTCAATAGACAAATCAAGAATCCTCCCCTCAGTCGCGCTGCCAAATGTTCTTATTTATAGCAATCATCTCATGGATCTAGACGGCATTGAAAAACCGACCGTAATCGCCTATCCATGTTTTGCAGGTCAGTTCCCATCATGATTATGTACGAGGAGGTATATAACCCAAGACTTCATGCTCCATCCACCTCCATCCTTTTTATACACCAGTCCTCTCTCCACGATGGAGGTACCCCCCGGTCCAGCATATCTTTTACGGCTCCTGCCCTACATTATATTCCCTCCAGTGGTCGTCTATGCTTTTATAGATCTAGCAAAGATACTTTTCAAGGTCGCCGCTTCTCCATGGCTTATCGTCATCACGACAATTCTGGTCAATCCTGCGCTATTCATCGCCAATAGATACTACCGAAGGTTTAGGAATGAACGAGCGGCTGCTTGCAACGGCGCTGTCCCACCTCCACCCGTTCAAGAATCTTTACTTTCCATCATCGGCAAGCTAACAAAAAGCATGGCAAGTGGATATCCCGGTGAGTAAAGCAGAAAGTGATGAATGGCATTGTTGGAGCTCCGCCAACATCCCCGGGTTAGGCGACGTCATGCAAGAATGGGCGGAAGAGTATGGAAATGTATTTCAATGCAATCTTTTGACAAACTCTCTTGTAAGTGAACCTCGTGTGCGTACCTGACTCTCTAATTTGGACTTCCGATATCTATGAATATAGATCGTCACCCTCGAGCCAGACCATGTCAAAGTGCGCAATTGAATGCAACCTCCGCTTCATTTATTTTTGGTTGCTCAATTTACGCGTCACAGGCAATGCTTGCGACAGAATTTGAGTCATTCGAAAAGGGTAAGTATCGCCGTAAGATTGCTCGTCTATGTATTGACCTTAAATTTTAGGTGCGGTATTCAATGACCAAATGAAGTCCTTGCTAGGCACGGGAATATTCAACGCCGACGGTAAGCATAAGTGATTTTTGGGGCTTCGTCTACTGGATACAACTGACCTAAACTTCGATGGGTAGGTGAAATGTGGAGGTATGGAATAATATCATGGGCCGCCACTATTACTGCTTGACCACCCTACTATCATATTAGATTCCACCGATCTATGGCTCGCCCTTTCTTCACTCGCGAGCGCATCAGTGATTTTGAAATATACGAACGCAACTGTGATCTATCCCTCGGACATGCCAAGAATAGGCTGGCGGCAGGTCATCCCATCGACTTCCAGGTAACATTTTTCTGCAGATGCACAGAGCTTTCATCTCACGTCACGCGCTGCACAGGACCTTGTATCCCGCTTTACATTGGACTCCGCGACCGAATTTCTCTTCGGCACCAACGTCGGATCCCTCGCCGCCGGGATCCCATATCCGCCGCTTTCTGCTCAACAGAACCCCGCGTCATTCCTCGGCCACCCGTCGAACGTATTTATTCAAGGATTTGTCGAAGGACAGGTCCGGTCGGCACTGCGTTATAGCCTTGGGACCGAATGGCCTCTTGGCGCGGAATTCTGGGCGGATAAAGTGTCCCCGATGCGAAAAGTTATGGATGAATTTGCGGAGCCCCTGATGAATGCAGCCTTGACCCGGCGAGATGAACGGCTTGCGAAAGGGAGGAATATAGAGCGACATGACGAGGCAACAAATCTTCTTGACCATCTCGTTGACCAAACGCAAGGTAGACTGCTCAAATATCTACCCAAGTGAAGCTGGGTGCGACTTATATTTTCTTGCCAGATCAATCCACTCTTAAGGATGAGGTGATTGTTCCCACATTGTATTGAAGAGCTAGGTGCTAATTAGTTATTGGAGCTTGTTAACCTCCTGGTCGCCGGACGCGACACCGTAAGTTCTAGCTTTCATTGATGAGCGCGCTCCTAATTCCTAGCAGACCGCCTGTCTCCTGACATACTCACTATACATGCTATCTGAACATCCTGAAGTCGAACGCCGCCTTCGGCAAGAAATATTCGATACGGTCGGTCAGACAGGAAGCCCCACATATGACCACATGAGAGAAATGAAATACTTGAGGGCGTTTATCAACGAAGTACTGCGACTGTATCCTCCTGTGTGAGTATTTTCATGCCTCAGAGTAGGTAATACGTGTACTTGCGACTTACCTTCCACTCATCCATCAGACCCATAAACACGAGGTACTTAGTTTTAGTTCATTTATCAAGTATTGCTTATGACGTTCCAATGCCCCCTAGATATAGTAAGCGACCAGTTATATTGCCTAGCAAGGTCTCAGGGCAGAAGCCATTTTACGTTCCCGCCGGCACAATGTACGCCGACCATTTCCCGCGACCCGCACATCTGCCGCGCACTCAAACAGCTCACTTAGGTGCTACTATCCAGTCATCAATATTCACCGCCGCACTGACATCTGGGGTCCCGATGGTGCGAAACTCTCCCTTGGTGCCCTTGCCGCACTCATCCCTCCTCGCGCGTAGCATTGTCGTTTGACCCCGAGCGCTTCCTCGACGCGCGAGTTCGCACCTATCTCACGCGCGACCCGTACATTTTCTGCCCGTTCAACGCGGGCCCGCGCATCTGTCTCGGGCAGCAGTTTGCGTACCACGAGGCGTCGTTCTTCCTCGTGCGCCTTCTGCAGCGCTTCACAGGCTTTGCGCTTGCCCCCGGCGCGAACACGGCACCGCCAGCTGCATGGGTACATGCGACGGGGCGGCGCGCGGCGGAGCGTGTGCACCCGATGTCACATTTGACGCTGTATGTTAAGGTGCGTATGATGTTTGTGAGCCTTCAGGTAGGCTGGAACCCTTTTGGTCGCTGACGCCGCGATGATGGTTTCCCAGGGCGGCCTCTGGGTTACAATGAAGCCACTGAATGAAGAAAAAACCTAATGGTCCGTCCTTTGCCGCGCATAATGCGAAGACGCTTGTATCAATATTATATATTTTTAGCAAGTAATGTTCAGCACGATTCAAGCAGTTGTATCGAGGTCAGTCCACCGCGTGCTGAAATAAATGAGACTGTTTGATGAGTCGGAGATGATCGATGACGCGAGAGCAAAAATCTATCGAAAAAATTTCCGGGGCGACGTTGGCCGACCTTCTGATGCTTCAGCCTTCTACGACTTGCAGGCCATCACGGTTCACCTCTGTTAATGGTATACTATGTAGTGGAGCCGAAATTCAAAAAGGAAAATCCTAGAGATGCTCCATTGCATTAAGAGGGAATCGAACCCCCGGCGGGTCGAGCTTGTTAAACTCGAATGGCAACGACCCAGGTTACCACTACCCCATTAATGCTGTGCAGTTGTTTAGCTGAGTTGAATCAGATTCTGCCTGGCGGAATATGGTTGCAATGAACGAGATCAATAAAAATCATGCCGAATACCCGGATTGAACGAATGACCTTCTCATATCTGAACCTTGGAAGGTACAAGTGAGACGCGACTACCACTGCGCCAAACCGGCAATATATTATCTGATCAATTGGCGCCCGAGCCGGCATGGTTCCGGTCCGGATCGAGGTCTGGCGCTAAGATTGGGCTCCAACTTGCTTTGAAGGTAGGTAAACCCAAAAAACACATTAGGCGGTGAGTGGGCATTGATGAAGCAAGGTTCTGGTCCGGAAGAATACTGGAAAGGAAGCTGGAGTACACGATGCAGGGCTGGACTTGGTGTGCGCAGGGAGCATCGGCCCTCCTGCATATGCCTCGGGCTCATCTTTCGGGTTGTTATCAATGAACGCACGTACAAAGTACTGCAAGGTAGATCGCTTATCTGAAAGTATGAGATCCAATACAGACATGCAAGAGGGCCAAGGGCAGCTAACAGGGCAATTTACATCATATCTGCTAAGTAAGTACGTGAAAGTGCGTGCCAGGATATCATGTTTTAACACCTGTATACGTTCCACGATTTACATAAAATTCATTTTTTGCTTGAACTTTACAGAGATTTATTGAGAGCGCTTGCCCAACGCTTGCCTGGAAGTCAGTTAATTTTATTATGACCGAACCTGTATTGCACACATTGTTACGTTTTGGACTCACTAACGCGACGCGAGTCCGATAGCCTTCTCGCGACCGTAATCTAGGCGTATTTGAATCCAGTGTTCATACGTCCACCTGTTTTCACTTTTTACGATGAGCGATGTTATCAGCCCCTATCTCATAGAGTCAGCGGGAGCTTTACTGATACGCGCCGCCAAGGCGGCAGATCATAATCGGCTATTTTGGTAATTCCATGTGGCCTGCAGTGCACACGATCGTCTTGAATGTGCATTTATACCTAGACACTCAATAGCGCCCTGACCTCCATAACATGGCGGCTCCTTCATCGAACCCAGCTTTGGCACCACCGCAGCCGGCGCTGAGCGTCAACTCAAACCCAGCGCACCTCGATCCACTGCCACCCTCGGTGTTCACCCTGCCGCAGACCGCGCAGCTCGAGGCGCTGTACACGATCATCAGAAACAAAGACACGTCGAGGGGCGACTTCTTGTTCTACTCGGATCGCATCATCAGGTTGCTGGTAGAAGAGGGCCTGAACCACCTCCCTGTCGTGGCGAGGACGGTGGAGACACCCACTGTGAGCAAACGTCGCGCAAACCCTAGGCGACCCGCATTCTGACGAAACCCTGTCGTTGTCTCAGGGCGCTACATACAACGGCGTAGGCTTCGAGGGCAAGATCTGTGGAGTGTCGATTCTCCGGGCTGGAGAGGTGCGTTCGTTCGTCACATAGCTCATCAGACACCTCTTATAAGCAAGAGCAGGCGATGGAAGCTGGTCTTCGCGAGGTGTGCAGAAGTGTAAGGATCGGCAAGATCCTTATCCAACGTGTACGTTTGCAAAAGATCCTCTCCTGCGCCGCCGCTGAGCGCATCTCAAATACTTAGGACGAAGATACGACTCTGCCAAAACTATTCTACTCAAAAGTACGGAGTCATTGAGTCAGCAATTATGTCTGATCCTAACGGGGTTTCGTACAGTTCCCGCCAGACATAGCGTCGCGTTATGTGCTCCTACTTGATCCTATGCTGGGTACGTTGGATCACGGACACACCTTGGCCCCGTAATGCTAAATCCATCAACACCTATCAGCAACAGGAGGTTCTGCCATGAAAGCCGTTGAGGTGCTCATGGAGCACGGTGTCCCTGAAGAGCGGATCATTTTCATCAACCTGGTGCGCTTGTTTTGCGTATCGTCTTGGTCTGCACGCTCACACATTAGTAGATCGCCGCCCCCGAAGGCCTTACGACCTTCTGCACGCGCTTCCCCTCTCTGAAAGTCGTGCGTCTTCTCTTTTATTTATCTGTACATCCATCATGCCATCATGCCGATTCTAACCTGTACATGAAATAGATCACGGGTTGGATCGACCAGGGTCTCAACGAGAAGGCCTACATTATTCCTGGTCTGGGCGACTTTGGCGAACGCAGGTACGTTTGGATGTCTATGCGTAACATGGTTGATTCTGAATATTCTTCCTGGTGCAGATACTGTACATGAACACGTCGCAAATTGCTCAAATAACTGGCCGACGGCGCCGCGACAAGGGACTGACCTCTACATATCAAATTGCAATCGAGTGTACTCACATCTTCATTCATAAATCATGATCATGAATCCCATTGACTTTTTGACTCATCGCTGAACGAACGCTGCTTATTTGGACCGACCGTCACGCATTACGTGCCTTTACAACTATCAGGTGGCCGGAAGACCCTTCGCGGCCTACATTCCACGTATCAGTGGCGTCTTATTTGAATTCCTAGCCCTCATATGTCTGTATGTCAGGAACACGAAGGGTCATCCACATTAGCTCCAGAGAAGTTAGTGACGGAAGGTTTTCGAGCAATGACGGCAGGCAATGTCGCGTACGGTGGAGGACACCTGGCAGAGGACAGTGAGGGTCGAGTTCGGACAAAGGTAAATATTTGGTCCAAAACATCCTCGTTCAATCTGGGACGCCAGTTCAACATTGAAGCTGCAACCATTGAGATCTATCAGTAAATGTGGATCGAATGGGGTTGATGAGATAGTGACAGATGGTAGAATTTGAGGATTCTAATTCAAAGTTCCAAATAAACGTTCAGTAGCTTAGGGGTGGCTTTAATTACGATGCTGGCCTTGGGTAGTGTGGGCCTAGGAGCAGTTGGGGGGCAGGGGAGCAGAACGATGTGCTGTGTTCAGTGGGACAGAGTAAAATATAAGTTTTGGTCTCACAACAAGTAAGACTCTGGGGGTAGCGCTGAGGGTGAAGCTTGTCGGTGAATCTTGATCAGAAAGTTCGAACGTCGGGAAGGGGTTGAGAGCATAAGCAAGAGCTCGCGCCTGAAAGTTTGCTGAAAGGAGTCAACTGAAAGTTCGTTTTCTTTCAAGGTGCATTTGCACGTGACCGTGCACACGAGCAATCGGCAGTTCGCCGCAAACCAGGGATTTTCGTCTGTTTTTCAACGTCAATCTACCTTTTCACAGATGCACCGCTCGAAGCTTCAAGCGCGGGCATATCATTAAGCTAGATCCCGCACCCCAAGAAAATTCCACCTACTCCAACGTTCTATTTGATTATGAGATTCACTTGACCTGATAGTCTGCCAACCTCCAACACTACTGGTTCTGCATATTCGCCACATTGCTCGCTTGCCGCAAAACTCTTGCCTTATTGTCCTTCCGCATACTTGCACTCAATGGACATAGAGGATAATACATTGTAACAATCAGATGTCTCTTGGGAAGCTTGGATTCGATTGCCACACCAACTTTACTCGGTTTAAGACCTGGGTCTTATCCGTCAAGATGGCATTGTGTGCATTCGGTGTCCCCACTACCTCACTCTTCCTCCGGGCGCAAAATCGAACCCTTCGGCTGAAGGTCGTAGAAGGCCATGTCGACCTCTTCGGGCAGGGAATCGAGCAAAGACACCCGCTTCGACTCAGTCGGTTCCCATCCCAATTTCTTGAGCCTGAGCGCGGTGACCCGGTGGTTGCATCCGATCAACCTCCACCCGACTGGTACAGAGCTGTCAGTTATGTCGATGTACATGAGCGCGAAAGGACCCGACGTACAATCGCCGAAGAGATCTGTTACAGCGGGGGGATACGGTTTCGATCCACCCTCGGAATAGACACCGCGGCTGTGCAGCATCTGTGGGCATGCACGATAATCAGTGTGGGTTCTTCTTTATGGACAAGGAAATAACGCACGTCACCGAGCTTACTGGTGTACTCTTTCCACGTTATCTGGGGGTGTTCGCTCGAAAGAAAATCTGGATATCATTCGATTGATGCTTGGATAGCGTGTGCAAACGGCGCGACTCACAGTAACCCTCCACTCCCTCGTCCGCTTTACCTTCGAGGGCAGCTTCAAATATTTTCAACATTCCCGCCGCGAGGTCCTTGATGTGCACGAAAACAAAAGAGTTGCAGCCGGGGCCCCATGTGCCTGAATGTCCTACAATCTTGTTCGCTTCCAGGAAAAGGCGTACGCCACCCGAGGACTTTCGGTATCCTAAAATTTCTGGTTCAACATCAAAAAAGCAGGGAGAATCGGGCGACAAACCTTCGCCGAGACCGTAAACCCATGCGGGGTACATGATGATCGTGCGGACGGGGTTCTCCTTGCGGGTCCCCGCAGCTACGACGAGCGAGTCACAGTTGACGTGCGGGTTCTCGGCGGGGATCTTGTCGACGGAGAACGTGGTATCGGTGTAGCGCGGGATGCTCGCCTCGTCGACGGGCTCGCCGCGCGCGTTGTCGCTCACGATGCACATGCCGGAAGTGTGCAGGTACAACGGCGGGCTGCCAGGGTTACTAGCCGATTGCTTTTCGAGGCCAGTGAGAATATCTGGTGGTCATGTCAATACGCCTTATACTCTATGGGTTCTTCAGAAGCGACGTACACTGCACGGAGACAGGGTGGTCTGAACTGGCACAGTTGATGACATACTTCGCCTTCGACGCCTGCTCGATCAGAATGTCGGCATCGGTGAGCGTCCCCTCAACGAATTCGATGTTCGCATAAACTTCTTTGATCTTCGCCTTTTTCTCTTCAGTGAGTTGACGAACGAGGGCGACGATGTGGAATTTATGCCCAGCGCGACCGAGCGACACGAGAAGCTGGGACCCTATAAAGCCGGTGGCTCCTAGGAAGAAGATGGTCTCCTCGCGCGGTGTCATTCTCGCGATGTTTTTCTGCAAGTAAAAACAACCAGCTGCTTTTATACTTGTGTGCGCTTCATATATTCCGAAAGGAGTCTAGCCCGGTGGGCTCATGTTTTTCCATGGTGTGTTGTATTCATTTGCCTGGGCCCTTTCTTGATTCCCCATGCGTGTGGCATGACAGGGCACTACTTATGATTTGGGTGTGATGAGGGCAGCCCTCTAAAAAAAACCATCGCTTAAAAGGGTTTATTTACATCGCGTTGCCGCTCGCGTTACCGTTCGGCCGCCGGGTGTGCTTCCAGCCC